ACTTCCTTGCAAAAATACTCTTTATTTTTATTTTTATGGATGATCCGGATAAATCCGACAAATTCTATAGGTATATATGCAAGCTCGTGGAGGCATAGCCGGATCTTGATACCGTATTCTGAGTCATTTAAGTTGTTCACTTTTAAAAAATTTAACTATACATGTATATTATAAAATGTTTGATGTGAAAAAGAAAAATATTAATAAGAAATTTGGCTAACAAAATATTGTTTGGATTCCAAATATAAAAGTTAATATATATTATATGAAAAGAAATTTTAAAGAAAGAAGTAATTAACTTTCTTCTTCTTTTTATTTTATATATATAATTTCTCATAAAAAATATAAAGTTTTTCTTTTTCACAAAAGATTCTAAATATCTCAGATCTGGCTCTATACGTCCGGCTCTAAATGGAAAATAACCATACCATGTTAAACATATGTGTTTGAAGGAACCAACCTCCAACGCCATTCTAGCGAGGATCCTTCATCTTCCAAGCAAGCATTGAGCCCACTAATCTAGAAGCAACACTCCAAGTTCCAAACGGAAATTGTGTCTCTATGAATTTACGCTCTGAGACCTAGGTTGTTTATCTTTTCCCTCAACCACTATATATGAGTTAAAAATATTCTTCGCTCCGAGAAGACTCGAACCTAGGGCCTTTTCAGTGCTTTGCATATGGGTACCACTATGCTAAAAGCCTCTCGGCCTTACAATGGGAAAACGGTATTTTTGGACCAGAACTACTGCCATCGGGCCTTTTTGGACCTGATCTTTTAACATTGGCCAATTTAAATCCGAACCTCAAATTAATTCAAAATATTTTTTAAAAAATTAATAAATTCACCTCATAATTCTAAATAAAAATCTAGAATCAGAATTAAAAAATAAANTTTAATTTGATATATATAAAAATTATAAATCTGAAATTTAAACTGAAACTAAAATTTTCTAAAAAATTACATTTAAAATGAAAGAAATTAATATTTCTAAACCATAATATTAATTATAATCATGATAAAATATTTATATACTAAATTTTATCAAGTTCTAATTTCCAATC